GAGGAGGAGGAGGACTCAGGAGGAGGACTCAGGAGGAAGAGGACTCAGGAGGAGGACTTAGGAGAAATGATAAGGAGGACTGAGGAGAACTGAGGAGGAGGAGGAGGACTGAATAGGAGGAGGAGAAGGAGGAGGACTGGGAGAGGACTGAGGAGTAGGAGGACTGATGAGAAGGAGGAGGAGGAGGACTGAGGACCGAGGAGTTAGAGGAGGAGGATGAAGAGGAGGAGGAGGACCCAGGAGGAGGAGGAGGAGGAGGACTGGGGAGGAGGAGGACTGTTGAGGACTGATGAGGAGGACTGAGGACGAGGAGGAGGAGTAGGAGGAGGACTGAGGAGGGGAGGAGGAAGAGAACTGGGGAGGATCAGGAAGACCCAGGAGGAGGACCCAGGAGGAGGACCCAGGAGGACCCAGGAGGAGGAGGAGGAGGACTGAGGAGGATGACTCAGGAGGAGGAGGACTCAGGAGGAGGACTGAGAAGGAGGAGGACTGAAGAGTACTGAAGAGTACTGAGGAGGATGGCTGAGGAGGATGACTGAGGAGGATGACTGAGGAGGATGACTGAGAGGGAGGAGGAGGATCAGGAAGACCCAGGAGGAGGAGGAGGAGGAGGACCCAGAAGGAGGACCTAGGAGGAGGAGGAGGAGAACTGAGGAGGATGACTGAGGAGGAGGAAGACTCAGGAGGAGGACTCAGGAGGACTGAGAATGAGGAGGATGGCTGAGGAGGATGACTGAGAGGGAGGAGGAGGAGGAAGAGGAGCAAGAGGACTGAGGAGGAGGAGGAGAAGGACTGAGGAGGAGAAGGAGGACCCAGGAGGAGGAGGACCCAGGAGGAGGAGGACCCAGGAGGAGGACCCAGGAAAAAGCCCCAAGAGGAGGAGGACTGGGGAGGAGGAGGACTGTTGAGGACTGATGAGGGGAACTGACGACGAGGAGGAGGAGTAGGAGGAGGACTGGGGAGGGGAGGAGGAAGAGGACTGGATAGGATCAGGAAGACCCAGGAGGAGGACCCAGGAGGAGGAGGAAGAGGAGGACCCAGGAGGAAGAGGAGGACTCAGGAGGACTGAGGAGGAGGACTGACGATGACTGAGAAGGAGGAGGACTGAGGTGTACTGAGGAGGATGGCTGAGGAGGATGGCTGAGGAGGATGACTGAGGAGGATGACTGAGAGGGAGGAGGAGGAGGACTCAGGAGGAGGACTCAGGAGGAAGAGGACTCAGGAGGAGGACTTAGGAGAAATGATAAGGAGGACTGAGGAGAACTGAGGAGGAGGAGGAGGACTGAATAGGAGGAGGAGAAGGAGGAGGACTGGGAGAGGACTGAGGAGTAGGAGGACTGATGAGAAGGAGGAGGAGGAGGACTGAGGACCGAGGAGTTAGAGGAGGAGGATGAAGAGGAGGAGGAGGACCCAGGAGGAGGAGGAGGAGGAGGACTGGGGAGGAGGAGGACTGTTGAGGACTGATGAGGAGGACTGAGGACGAGGAGGAGGAGTAGGAGGAGGACTGAGGAGGGGAGGAGGAAGAGAACTGGGGAGGATCAGGAAGACCCAGGAGGAGGACCCAGGAGGAGGACCCAGGAGGACCCAGGAGGAGGAGGAGGACTGAGGAGGATGACTCAGGAGGAGGAGGACTCAGGAGGAGGACTGAGAAGGAGGAGGACTGAAGAGTACTGAAGAGTACTGAGGAGGATGGCTGAGGAGGATGACTGAGGAGGATGACTGAGGAGGATGACTGAGAGGGAGGAGGAGGATCAGGAAGACCCAGGAGGAGGAGGAGGAGGAGGACCCAGAAGGAGGACCTAGGAGGAGGAGGAGGAGAACTGAGGAGGATGACTGAGGAGGAGGAAGACTCAGGAGGAGGACTCAGGAGGACTGAGAATGAGGAGGATGGCTGAGGAGGATGACTGAGAGGGAGGAGGAGGAGGAAGAGGAGCAAGAGGACTGAGGAGGAGGAGGAGAAGGACTGAGGAGGAGAAGGAGGACCCAGGAGGAGGAGGACCCAGGAGGAGGAGGACCCAGGAGGAGGACCCAGGAAAAAGCCCCAAGAGGAGGAGGAGGACTGGGGAGGAGGAGGACTGTTGAGGACTGATGAGGGGAACTGACGACGAGGAGGAGGAGTAGGAGGAGGACTGGGGAGGGGAGGAGGAAGAGGACTGGATAGGATCAGGAAGACCCAGGAGGAGGACCCAGGAGGAGGAGGAAGAGGAGGACCCAGGAGGAAGAGGAGGACTCAGGAGGACTGAGGAGGAGGACTGACGATGACTGAGAAGGAGGAGGACTGAGGTGTACTGAGGAGGATGGCTGAGGAGGATGGCTGAGGAGGATGACTGAGGAGGATGACTGAGAGGGAGGAGGAGGAGGACTCAGGAGGAGGACTCAGGAGGAAGAGGACTCAGGAGGAGGACTTAGGAGAAATGATAAGGAGGACTGAGGAGAACTGAGGAGGAGGAGGAGGACTGAATAGGAGGAGGAGAAGGAGGAGGACTGGGAGAGGACTGAGGAGTAGGAGGACTGATGAGAAGGAGGAGGAGGAGGACTGAGGACCGAGGAGTTAGAGGAGGAGGATGAAGAGGAGGAGGAGGACCCAGGAGGAGGAGGAGGAGGAGGACTGGGGAGGAGGAGGACTGTTGAGGACTGATGAGGAGGACTGAGGACGAGGAGGAGGAGTAGGAGGAGGACTGAGGAGGGGAGGAGGAAGAGAACTGGGGAGGATCAGGAAGACCCAGGAGGAGGACCCAGGAGGAGGACCCAGGAGGACCCAGGAGGAGGAGGAGGAGGACTGAGGAGGATGACTCAGGAGGAGGAGGACTCAGGAGGAGGACTGAGAAGGAGGAGGACTGAAGAGTACTGAAGAGTACTGAGGAGGATGGCTGAGGAGGATGACTGAGGAGGATGACTGAGGAGGATGACTGAGAGGGAGGAGGAGGATCAGGAAGACCCAGGAGGAGGAGGAGGAGGAGGACCCAGAAGGAGGACCTAGGAGGAGGAGGAGGAGAACTGAGGAGGATGACTGAGGAGGAGGAAGACTCAGGAGGAGGACTCAGGAGGACTGAGAATGAGGAGGATGGCTGAGGAGGATGACTGAGAGGGAGGAGGAGGAGGAAGAGGAGGAAGAGGACTGAGGAGGAGGAGAAGGACTGAGGAGGAGAAGGAGGACCCAGGAGGAGGAGGACCCAGGAGGAGGAGGACCCAGGAGGAGGACCCAGGAAAAAGCCCCAAGAGGAGGAGGAGGACTGGGGAGGAGGAGGACTGTTGAGGACTGATGAGGGGAACTGACGACGAGGAGGAGGAGTAGGAGGAGGACTGGGGAGGGGAGGAGGAAGAGGACTGGATAGGATCAGGAAGACCCAGGAGGAGGACCCAGGAGGAGGAGGAAGAGGAGGACCCAGGAGGAAGAGGAGGACTGAGGAGGACTGAGGAGGAGGACTGACGATGACTGAGAAGGAGGAGGACTGAGGTGTACTGAGGAGGATGGCTGAGGAGGATGGCTGAGGAGGATGGCTGAGGAGGATGACTGAGGAGGATGACTGAGAGGGAGGAGGAGGAGGACTCAGGAGGAGGACTCAGGAGGAAGAGGACTCAGGAGGAGGACTTAGGAGAAATGATAAGGAGGACTGAGGAGAACTGAGGAGGAGGAGGAGGAGGAGGAGGACTGAATAGGAGGAGGAGAAGGAGGGGGACTGGGAGAGGACTGAGGAGTAGGAGGACTGATGAGAAGGAGGAGGAGGAGGACTGAGGACCGAGGAGGAAGAGGAGGAGGATGAAGAGGAGGAGGAGGACCCAGGAGGAGGAGGACTGAGGAGGAGGACTGAGGAGGATGACTGAGAGGGAAGAGGAGGAGGAGGAGGAGGACTCAGGAGGAGGAGGAGGAGGACTGAGAAGGAGGAGGACTGAGGAGGAGGAGGAGGAGGAGGACTGAATAGGAGGAGGAAGAGGGGACTGGGGACTGGGGAGGACTGAGGAGGAGGAAGGAGGACTGAAGAGAAGGATGAGGAGGAGGATTGAGAACTGAGAAGGAAGAGGAGGAGGATGAAGAGGAGGAGGAGGACCCAGGAGGAGGACCCAGGAGGAGGACTCAGGAGGAGGAGGAGGACTGGGGAGGAGGAAGACTGTTGAGGACTGATGAGGAGGACTGAGGACGAGGAGGAGGAGTAGGAGGAGGACTGAGGAGGGGAGGAGGAAGAGGACTGAGGAAGATCAGGAAGACCCAGGAGGAGGAGGAGGAAGAGTAGGAGGAGGAAGCATCTAAATGTTATTTCCATTTTTTTCCGTTTTTGTCCATTTTTGTCCGTTTTTGTCCGCTCTATTTTTTGTCCGTTTTGAAAATATAGGGTACCGAACGGACAAAAAACATGATCCCCCTATAACAGCAAACATTGAACATTTTATTTAGCAATTTAGGTGTCCATTAATGTCCGCTAATGTCCGTCTATGTCCGCCAATGTCCGTCTATGTCCGTCTATGTCCGCCTATGTCCGCCTATGTCCGCCTATGTCCGCCTATGTCCTGTCCTTTTTGGATTCTATGAGACAAGCGGACATAGACGGACGTGACACCCCCCCCGACAATATAGACATGCCCAAAACGGGCATTTTGGCAAAAAATGGCAAAAAGATAAAAAGATAGTCAACCCCCAAATCCCAGCTACAATTTGAGAACATCCTAATTCCTACAGCTAGGTCCCTCCCCGAATGCAACACTCAAAACATTATGGCCAGGATAATAGGGGATTTGTTAACATTTTTTGGCTTTTGGCCCATTTTTGGCAACAACAAAAAAGCCCTTCCGCACTTTGATAACATCATTTGATACATGAGCGTCGCGTCTGTTAGGTCAATTAACATCTCCTGAAATTTAACGCGATTGAATGTTATCTTCATAGACTTTCGGCCAAAAAACCTTAAAATGGGGTTTTTAAACCTTTTTTGGATAACATTCAGTCGAAATAAGGGTCCCTGAGCTTTATTGAGGGTGAAAATCTTCCTTATTTACGATATACCTTCGATAATCCGTTAATAAATTTGTGGGCTCTCGATGTTTTGAAATTTACATGGGTCCTTAACACTGTTTACATAGATTAAGATGATGTATCTGCTATCTATTTAGCTTTTTTACTTTCTTTTTTCTTTCTGATATCTATCAAATCTTTTTGTTTATGATAGACGTCCTCCATCTGTTTTAACTTTGCAAGTTTCTTCATTGCTTTCGTTCGCTGAGATCCCATGTGCATCAATAAAAACAGTCCTCCTGAGAATAGAGTGGATTTAAACTTCAGTGATATTAATATCACAATTAATTTTGTCAATTTTACTATTATTTATGCGCGACCTATAAGTATTAAGTATAGTGGTAAGACTTATTAGTAACGACTGAGGTTGAGAATTAGATCCACTACTAATTGATGGCCAATAAAACCAAAATGTTTGAAAATAAGAACGAAAACAAATCATATGTACACCATAATTGAAATTCACACAGGCAAATTAGATCCAATTACCAATTGCAGGAGCAGCAAGGTAAATCTTGAGGAAGAGGCTGAAGTCGAAAGCAACGTTGAGACTATTGGGTAGAGTAACAGTGAGGCGCCCTGACTGTGACACTAACTCTATACACTGATACACTAAACTTGCTGAAACATTACTGGTGGTTACTTAAAGGGAGTCTAGATATATATCGCATATTATCTCGTCACTGAGCATTAACATGTAAGAGTAGTATCATTTGTTGGAGGACAAAAAAGGTTTAATTAATACGATGTTATAAAAAAACTAATGTGAATAAATCGAATAAAGAATGAATGGGAATTAGTGTTTTTATACAGACCTTCACATATCAATCCAATAGGATAGAGAGGAACCCACACATTGTACCTCAGCCACATTAATTTAGGGAAGTATAACTCGTAAATCTGGACTATGTAATATGGGTACCTGCGACCATTGGTAATTGTTAACTTTCACCGGTTGGTAGTTGACCTGTTTAATACAGCTCTGGAATGCTCATATCAAAGATTGTTAGTACTAAGAAGTTGGAATTCGTCCTGTTTGTGGCATCTTACTGCTTGTCCAAATAATTTCACTTTAAAAATTAAACTGAATGCGTTTTAAGTAATAACTAATACACTATATACCTGACGACCTCAACAGCACACCAAGCTACCACGAGAAGATAACAAGAGAGGGAGGTTTGGAGAGATGGTTCCGCGTCAACAACACAAAATAACACAATTGCTCTTCCAACCACCTGGGATACGAGAGATAAAGGAGATAAGGGAGATGAGAGAGATGAGGGAGATGAGAGAGATGAGAGAGATAAGGGAGATGAGGGAGATGAGGGAGATATGGGAGATGAGAGAGATGAGGAGATGAGGGAGATAAGGGAGATAAGGGAGATAAGGGAGATGAGGAGATGAGGGAGATGAGGGAGATGAGGAGATGAGGGAGATGAGGGAGATGAGGGAGATGAGGGATATGAGGGAGATGAGAGAGATGAGGGAGATCAGAGAGATGAGGGGAGGAGTCAAATCCAGAAAATTACACCACTATGGGACCGTTCACATATTGCGTAATCACTTTTTGGCAAATTTTTAACCCCCCTCCCCCCTCCGTAATCAATTTTATACATAGCTAAGGTGTCAAAATAACACTAGCGTAATCATTTGGAAACCCCCCCCCCCCCTCCCCTCCGGCTGATAACGTAATATGTGATTTGTACTATGATTTGTACAGTTATTTTAACAAAGATGTGGCCGTTATTTTATTTTATTTTGCTACGAACGTTAGACCTGACCAGCTTTAACCCGCAAAAATACATAACATCAGGACTCAGGAGTGAATTCTTTACATCAACAGAGCCGGAAGATCATCACCATTTATGAGGTTAATTTAATGAAGCACAATTATCTAAGTGTTTCCACATTCTTGTTTTTCTTCAGTTTTACTCAATTTAGACTGTTAGCTCGCTTCATAAGCATGTCATCTTCGTTCCAAAACTTTTTATGACCTAATCATACACTCCTTGATAGTTATCTTGATCTAGTATCTTTGTTTCACACAATAGAGCATAAGTTTTGTGGTTTATCCACTGGGCTTAGATTTTGTGTTTAAGCTACCAAATTTTATTATTTATTATTTATTTGTAGTGTCCGGTACTTATCGTAGTTAAACTAAAGAATATTATCATTTTTGAATATTTGATGAACTAAAGGTTTTATTAAATATCTAGTTTACTTTTATCGCGTATGTTCTAGTCAAGGCAACCATATATTTTATTTTATTCAAATATCGTACGATTGATAACGTACTGCAATATTGAAGACTTATTAGCATCATTGATTACTATGATTGATAACTATGATTAAAGGGTAAAGAATCAGACATTATATCATACTACAATTTTATCGCACAATTTTAATAAAGTTTATAAAGATAAGTATTTAAACCCAAAAAATAATACCTAGACACCTAGGATATAACTACATAATATCTTATATTCAACGAACACCGTTGAATGCTTGACAACATAAGTTAATTTTTAGCCAAAGAATGTGAGTTTGTTTTCAACTTCCATTTCAAGTTCCAGCTTCTGTCCGGGTCCCGGAATGATGTCGCGTCTTCAGACACGTAGATGGCATAGTTCCCGTAAACAGGTCCGCTCATCAGGTTACTGCCAATCTGCGTCCCCGCGTCACTGCCCTGCAGCTGAACTTTGCACGATGTACTCCACAAGGTATTTGGGCAATTTTGGATGTTGGATATCTCGTGAGGCCAGCGGTCACTGAGAGAGACTCCGGTGAGGGGGTTGCAGTGAAAGTCGTTTCCCAGTCCGTGGGTGTTGTCGTCATTAACACCGGTAGGTGACAGAAACCCTCCTGTCATCACGATCCTGTGTCCATTATCGGTATATGCCCAGTTGAAAGCCAAGTCTCCTCCCACAGAAAATATCGGGTCGTCTCCCATGTTCTGAGCATTCTTGCTTACGCTCTCTTGGAGAGGACCACCCTCCGTAACCACGTCCCTGCCCGGGTTCATGTCCTGGAACCGGGAGAGAAGGGACCTGCCACTCTGTGTAAATCGGAACACTTTCACTGCGTCCACCTCCCCTCCCTGGTGTCTCACAATGGCTATGTAGCTCACGGGGTGGTTCCAGATCACTCGGTTCAAGTAATCTTTAGTCAGAGCCTCAGTGTAGGTTCCAATGAAGATGTCTTGAGCCCAACCAACAGCGTACCCCATGACGTGCCCGTCTGCCGGGTTCAGGTTCATGGCCAGGTGCCAGGCCTTTGTTTCTACTCTCTCAATCCTCTCTAAAGATCTTGCACGTGTTATAGTTAACTGCGAGAGTATACTAACCAGTAGGATCAGAACGAACATGTCTGGTGCTGAAATTATAGGAGATTTGTGAACAAATAACAGCCAGTGATAATGGGATATTAAGGATCATGGCTGCCTCGGATAATATATTAACTAATTATAATGTTGAAGAGATGCTAAAATTACTGATATTAAAGTCGCTAATTGAGCTTTACCTATGACATTCTTAGCTTCAGATACGTAATACAATTATTAAATAAAGCGTTATAACCGTAGTATTTTGCAAGTGCAAGTGCAACTAAGTGAAATAAGTGTTTCAACAAAAAACGTTTCCAAATTATTAAACGTATGAGACGAAGAAAAACTGTAAAACTTATAACAAAAATGCGTCCAAGTCATTCTCGAATCTCGATACGTACCTCTGAAGGCAGAGCTCCCGCTTCCGAGCTCGTATTGCGAAAGGGAGGCCTGCCTTCCAAGATTGCATTACAGGGGGAACCTCGAGTCCAAAATCGTATATCGAAGGGGTAGGTGCGGACTTCGAAAACCGAAAAAAAATATTTTCAGCTCATAATGATCAGGGTAGCATGAAAAATGAACAAAAGTAGTTTCCAAGAAAACTTTGAAAATTTGTGACACCCCTGTGTCGATGCAAAGTCACGACTTTTGAGTTTTGACTTGGCAAACTTCTGCTACCAAATTGAATCTTGTGAACTTAAACTCATCGTGATCAATGATCAATCCTGGTATCTTAACACCAATTTTCTTAAGGACTGGTGACGAGTAAACAAATCATTGATTCGAGAACAATAAATTACTCAACATAAAATCATCCGGACAGGAACCATGCACATAGCCTGGAGACTCGTTTACTAACCATATTAATAACCAAACTGCGAATAAGATAGCATTTTATTTTTCATCGTTGACAATGATCGCATTTATCGAAGCCCAAGCCTAAGAAAATTGAGTTATTGATACTAAAGTAGCTCTACTTTTGCAGGATATAATGATGATCTAATTTGATGAACAGCGCCCAAGCCTAAGATATTTGCGGGAAAATTATTACGTTATTTCATGACACGGGACCAAAAATCTTACCACGTGACCCAAAGGATCGATATCCAAATTGTATGTCACGTGGGGGCCGTCCATATGGAGTGCTCTTCGCCGTTAACAAGCACATATTTGCTTCGCTGTTTAAGGGTTAACCTGATCGAAATTCAACAGTTAGTTTAATTTTATTATCTGTAGTCTGTACTGACCAAAACAAGAAGGCTCGCAATATAACATGATCGTAGTAACCTTTTTGACTTTTTGACCAGGAATTAAAAACATAGTTACTTAAACAATGAAAAGAGGGCTTCAAACTAACATCATGACATATAAGCTAAGCTAGTGATATATTCTTTCATTTGCTCTATTTATATTTCTGTGACTGACAGAGGTCCGGAGGTCGTTTTTGGTCATTTCGACTCGATATCTTATACTTTACTATTGCAAACAGAAGAAATTATGGATGGAGTCAGATATATAATGAACAAACGATAGATTCAGAATTCAGATATGTAGAGAGGATTTCCAAGATACATTCCAAGATACATTACTATGTACATCAAACATCAAGACCCCTTGGTTCCCTAATATCAAAATACTACGAGACTGATAGTTATCTTCACTGAATCTGAATTTGGACAATCATTTTACAACACGTTATCATAAATTAATGAACAAAAAAGCAGGACGTATTTTACGCCTTTTCTCTACAAATTCTCTACTCTAATAAATGGCACAAATTTCAGACTTACAATTGAATAACCAGAAACTATGTCAAAGACTGACCAATTTAATTATGAAATCCATTTTAATTTATGCGGGTACTGCAGAGTTTCTGGAGAAAAAGAAGACCTCTGATCATCGAGTGGTCTCACTGTTCAGAGGTTAAATACATCAAATAGTTAGTCTTTCTTTACATTTCTTTAATCAAGTGAATCCTCCAATTTAAGTAACTTTTACGTCCAACACATCGCCTTCTAATTAGCGTACAGCTCCATCTTGTTAGACTGGCACTATAAGAGATGCTTTATCAGAACTAGAATTTCCTTCAAGATTAGAAGGCCCAACTTTCTTCTTTTTTCTCCTTTTCTTTCTAACAACGTCCCGTGTAGCCCCATCTGCCACCTGTTTCTGTAATATCGCTCCAGATAGGACATCATCTCCTGCTACTGAAACTTCGGACTGTGGTTCCAGCTCATCATGATGAACAGTCAGAACTCTTCCTTTTCTACTTCTAGGTCCCCCTTTTTCTCCCCTGGGGTCCTTATGAACTTTAAATGAGCCACCTTCAACTGCTGAAAACTTGTCTTTCCCAGTAATATCATTATCACAATGCTCTGTATCTTCCTCTATCTCTGCAGCAGGCACATGCTGAACTTGCTGTCTTACTGGCCCCTGTGCTGGAGTCCCCTTACTTTGGGGAGTTGGTGGATCTAATCCAGGTCCTCTCTTCAGCCCTCCTCCTGTTTCAGATTCTTTATTAGCTGAGTCACTTTTCTCAGGTGCAGCTTCTGGCACTGCTTCTAAGTCTTCGTTTAGTGCTGATGGAGGAGTTTGAGGCTCGATTCTCCTCGCTCCCTTTCCAATACAGAATTTGTGTACAACAAAAAGGGTCAGGGCTATCACGAGAACTACCAAAACGGCGCTGTTCAGACCGATAGATAGCACTTTTTGGGGGTCAGATTCGGGTCCACGATTCGGTCCGGATTAGGTTCAGGGTCCGGATTAGGTTCAGGGTCTGGATTGGTTGTGTTTCCAGTCAGACACCAGCTGGCTGGAGTGTACAATGTTCCTGTTGTTGTGTTTGAGTCGGTCCCACAAGTTACATTAGACTCATGAGAACACAATGTTTTGTTGTTCAGCGAGGCTGGGAACTTATACAGAAGCCCACCATCCGAACATTCTGTTATCTCAACCATGTGTGTTTTATTGAAATCACCGTTGTTGCTCCAGCACACATCAGCTTTACCCCTCTCAATACGTCCAGATATTACGGGGAACAAGAAGTTAGAAGTGCTACTTCTCAACAGGGTGAGTGCGTAGTAACCGTTACAATGTCCCTGCGGAGGACACTGACTCTCTGTATCTATCACCACTATCTTATCATTAGGTTTAGAGAACTTGTACCATGTCTCCGGCGAGAGCACATAGTCGCAGTTTCCGCAGTCTTTGTTCTTCTCAGCCTTTTCTTTATCGTAGCAGTGCACGGATGAGTGGAGATCACAGATTGATTTACTTGCTCGGTTCCAGGCAGCGTAGTCCTGAACAGTAGAGTGAACAGTAGAGTGAGGGTAAACCTTGTAGTCTCCTCTTCTACAGGGATCTCCTCCGCCATCTGTCTGGTATGACATGCTCAGAGGGAGTAATAACAGGGATAGAAGCATGGTAATATTAGCGTGAGACAAGTCAAGAAACTGTGAGGTGCACTGTTAGGCTAGCTGGTTACGAATATACGAGGATTTTGTCATGTGTGCTAATCAGCGTTACCCTGGAAACCGGATAAAAATATATAATATAAGAATATAATAAGTAAGAAATTTGATACTGTCTTACTTTGCCATCGCCATCGAGCATAAAATACTCTAAAATGGGAAGTGTACTTAGTGCAGAGACCAAGATGAACAGCCTGAGACGAAATGGAGCTTACTTATTAATTTCCGAGTGCTGATATTTGGGTTAAATCAACATCTTCATTCCCTGATTGATATTACCTAAACGAAATTTATTTCATGTAACTGTGTGGATTATTATTAGTACTAACTATAGTACTAATTAGTACTAATTATTATTGTGTGAATAATTATTAATTAGTCTATATATATATATATAATAATAGGGCAATCCACACAGCAAGGCAACCGTTTATCTGAAGACCTAGGTCCACAGCGTTTTAATTTTGTCTTTGGGTGGGAACTATTCTTAGTAGTTCAATTTATATACGGCCAAAATAAACATTTATTTGTGTGTAATATATTGTATACAGTATAAAAATATGCTACTTTGCGGATAGTTTTATGGAATTAAAAAAGTTGGAATATCTACTGTTTTTAGGAACCAGTCCTCCGACAAATTTGTACCTACCATGAATCATTATGTGTACCTACCATGAGTGTTTATATAATCTAAATAATTTGATGAGAAGAAAAATGTAAAAAAGCACCCCCATACCAGACCAGTATATTTCAGTCGAAAGTTTAGGAAATAATCTACAACCTGATTGAAACACTCTTTACTGACCTGGGCGAAAGTAGCAAAAGTAGAGGTTTTAGTAAGACCGGTAACCGAGTGTATAATCTCCAGGAACACTGTCTGTTGACAGGATCTCAGCAACCAGCTCATGGTGGCGTAGTTCGTTTTTATCGCACCTAACAGGGTGTTTTAAGTTCATTTTCTATATATATTTACAATCTTCAATAGTGTACTACAATATGGTATGATAAATAATCTGCGCTAATGGATTTATGTTAATCCTATACTTGTTATACTGTAATCACGTACCTTACTAAGTTGTTACACCCTCAGTAGTCAGTAACCGGGTGTGGTATGATTTAAATCACATTTTTAAAACGGCTACAACGTTAGTAGTCTGATAACGAACCTGTGCCTTCAATAGCAACTCTGAGAAGAGATACGAAGAAGACGTAGAAGTAGCCTAACCACACCACAGAATTGTAGATAGTTAGGTAGCTGTTCTTTAGCATGTCGTACACTGAAATACAGTGTGGTAACATACTGGTAACACACTGGTAACAAACTGGTAACATACTGGTAACACACTGGTAACACACTGGTAACAAACTGGTAACACACTGGTAACAGAATCATTTCAAATTGCAGGAAGAAGTCCCGGCAAACTTGAAGTTGAGTGTTATTTATATAACCTTGCTTGATATTTAGATAACGTTAACGGTTCAATTTTTCAATTTTTAAATTTTCGCGTTTTATCACGGTGTGGACTTCAACACATGAATAACATTTTGATACTTTAGAAATTATAAAATCAGCCATACATAAGAAAACCCGCTAGCTAGAGCCTAGTTCTATAAATAAATTGACGAAGTAACCGCATTTATCGGTTAGATTCAAACGACTAACAAAATTTGTCTTAATATAAGTTACATACTAATGTAAGAAACTTTGTGTAAAAGTACGGCGTAAAAACGTCCACTTTTTATTTATCGTGACAAGCATTTCTTGAGCTTTCGTGCACTCGTTCGTTTCTTTTTCACCACATCGCGTATTTTGATTTATACGACTCTCTTGCTGATCTCGACTCTCTGAAATCTAAACGTCACTAATCTTCTCCAATTCAGTACATTTCTCAACATCTGGCTCACAGCCAACATTGTCGATAACGGTAGACTTTTCATCTCTTCTAAACTTATACCCACCCGGAGCTCTTCTCGCAAGTCTGAGACGTATCTTGACCAAGCTGACTACAGTCAGCAAAATAGACAGCGCCACTCCCAACATAACATACATGCCCACATCATTGTCCTGAAAAGCGTGCCACACAGATACAAATATGATACTGAACACTGCTGTCAGCAACATCAGGATCAGCGCATAGTTCAGGATCATATACTCCCCCTTGTGGAATATCTTCTTCCTCAACTCGTACTGCTCCTCACGTGACAGATACCCGTCCCACACTGCCTGGCTCACCGGGCTCACCTCCTCCTCCTCCTCCTCGTCACTGTCCGGCCACCGCCTTATTGATGAAAACCTGAACTTCCTCATACTGGAGAGCCGGGCCTCATCAGCACCCAGCATGCTCCAAACATCGGACTGGTCGTTGCGTTGGATGATCACAGTGTACTGGTCCTCATTATCAGACTCACCAACTGCCTCTCCTGTTAGCTCCTGTAGCTGCTTCCTGTTCATTGATAGAACCCTGTTGAACCCTCCCTTCTTCACAGAGGATCCTCGGTTCAGCTCACCCTGTTTCAGGGACATGACTCTGTTCAGACTTTTCTTCTTGAAGCTCGACGTTCCTCCGGCTGGTTTTCTGAGCGTCATAGCTCGAGCCTTGTTGAAACTCTTCTTGAAGGAGCTCCTGTTCTTGAACATACCACGATACCCGGCATCTTTTGCGGTTTTGGATCGGTTTAGAGCGGGTTCTCTAATTGTTACTCGACGAACAGAGCCAGCAACTCTTCCAGCTTGGACTCGTGCCAAAGGACTCGGTGGGAGTGGAGAATGTATCAGAGGGCTCGGTGGGAGAGGGACCTGGCTGGAACTGGAGGTACCACATTCCGGTGATCTTGTTTCTGCTTCTAGTTCGTAAAGTTTGCGTTTAATTGATGCTCCGATCTGGAGGTTAGTCAAAGTGCGGTCTCTCACAGACTGGACTCTTTTATCTCTTGGAAACATACTCGAACGAAGACAAATAACTCTAGGCCCCAAGGCCAAGGCTTGTTGACTATCTCTTCCAATCTTTAAAATTATTGGTCCGTGAACGCGAGAAATCGACATTTTGACGAGAACAAAAGAAGGTAATAAGTAAGTACCCTCGCTAATTGAATTGTCAGTAGTTGAGTAGTTACACCTGATTGACCTCACACAACTTAAAGCTTGATAATGAGCACAAAACACATTGTAACAGTGACCAGGTGGTTTTAATAGGACCACGTAACTGTAAACATCTACTTTACTCCGACAAATGTGGAAAATTTCCGCTTGGAATATATTTTATGTATGTGTTTGTATATTATGGCGGTTCCGATTATCGTATCTTGAACCAGCTCGAAATCTCCTCAATAGCAACCAGAAACCCTGTTATAACCAATTTAATATACTTTAATATGGTCATCCCCCCCCCCCCCCCCCCCCCTTTTTTTGTTGTTTTATGACACCGATACTCCTATAAGAATAAATGAGAATCATGATGAATGATAACATTTAGTGCGAAGGGTTGTTCCAACCGCGAATGTGCCACACCAACATAAAAGAGAAGCTAGCAATTTCCCATTGGGAAACGGAGGAGTAATATTACCACACAATGTTTACAATATAGTGATCTTTTGTTTCTTAATTATATGTCTGGGTACCTGTGTGTGTGTACTGTGTGTTATAGCACACAGTAAACCACCTCACAATGTAAGCTTACACTCCGGTAATTACACTGCCCGCCCCCACAAATCCTGGTATTTCTTACGGGTCAACTTACACTTCTAGAAGATTACATTTCACAGCCAATAGAAAGGGGCCACATGCAACGTGGGGCTATTTTTTCTCAGCAAAATATTGTGGGTAAAGTTAATTTTCAATAATCAACAATTCCCCAAACTCCCAAACTTGGAAAGCAGAATGATTAAATATATAGAATGCTGAATGAGAACCTACTCTCTTTTTCTGCCTCTTCGAGATCTCGGGTGATATCGTCGGAGTTCAGCATACTGGACATCTGTGGATATAACAAGTTATTGCTTTGAATTTTGGTACTGAAAGTAAGTTTATTATTGCGATATCATCCAATTTAATTAACCGCGGGGCGCGGGAGCATAATCGCCGGGTACGGAAGTTGTGGGGCCTCACGTACATGCTGGACTTTAGTATCTTGAGGGAGCGGTCCGTGCTCATCCTCTAATTTTCTCTTCGCGTCTTCCAGTTTGCGCGCCGCAATAGTTTCCTCGTCAGTCAAATCCACACTGTCGACATCAAACTTCAGCCAGCGATGTTTGTCTGGAGTGAGTCTGCTCCATTCTTGGTGACAGTCTGCGAATGAAAGTTATATCAATTTTCTGGGTAAAAGGGTTGGGCACCATACTTTTGATGGGCGAAATAATTGCCCAATAAATTCGATCAACAGTGGAATGTTTAGTTTCTGGGCTCTAGATTAAGGTTTAGTTTCTGGGGTAAAGATTAATGTTAATAGAGCAGCGGGAATAATACAGTGCTGTGAGGACTGTTTATAAAATCTTTAAAAAAAAGGTTTAACAAACAACCATTAAAGTATTGGAACGGAAAAATATTGTCCAGTACAGTAATTAATAATTTTCAAACCTTCTGCCTTCGCAATAACGACCTTGATTCTGCGATCTTTAATCTTTGTATCGAACCTCTGCAAGAAATTGTTTTAAAGCCGACCAAAAAATATTTTTTAAGAGAAGCTTTTCTGTCGTCCCTTTGACCGAAATTTCGCAGTTTTGGCTGACAATTTGACCAGTGACCAATCAGTGAGGTCGGTGAGAGTGACACAAGTCGCCATAAGGTACTGGAAGCAGTATATGCGTAGAAAACGTTGATGCAATTAAAATTTTGAATGTGTCCTACCGGTGGGACATATTCGAATTTCTGCTCTCCGTAACCCAAATTTTACAGTTTTGACTGAATTTTTCTTGAATGACCATCGTACAGGGTCACAGAAGAATGAGGATGGCACAAGACACGATTGAGGTACTAAAAGTACTATTCCCAAAGAAAGCTTTGATAAACGGAAAATCATACTAAGAATATAAAAAGAGATTTTGGAAGATTTTTGAAGAGGAGCTTTTCTGCCGTCCCCTTGACCGAAATTTCACGATTTTGACTGAAATTTTTACCAGTGACCAATTAGTGAGGTCGGTAAGAGTGACACAAGTCGCCATCAAGGTACTGGAAGCAGTATATCCGGAGAAAACTTTGATGCAATGAAAATTTTGAATATGTCCTACCGGTAAGACATATTCGAATTTCAGCTCACCGCAACCCAAATTTCACTGTTTTCACTGAATTTTTCTTGAATGACCATCGTACAGGGTCACAGAAGAATGAGGATGGCACAAGACAGGATTGAGGTATTAAAAGTACTATTCCCAAAGAAAGCTTTGATAAACGGAAAATCATACTAAGAATATAATAAAGAGATTTTGGAAGATTTTTGAAGAGGAGCTTTTCTGCCGTCCCCTTGACCGAAATTTCACGATTTTGACTGAAATTTTTACCAGTGACCAATCAGTGAGGTCGGTGAGAGTGGCACAAATCGCCATCAAGGTACTGGAAGCTGTTTATCCGGAGAAAACTTTGATGAAAAGAAAAGACACTATCGAGGTACCAGGAAAGTTTGATTCCCAAGAAAACCTTCTTCTGCCGTCTCCTGAACCAAAATTTCGCGGTCCTGACTGAATTTTTGACCTGTGACCAATCAGTGAGGTCGGTGAGAGTGACACAAGTCGCCATCAGTGATCAGTATTATGTATACATATAATGCAAGGTGGCCCAGAAGTTACTGTCCACACGTAATCCTTGAGTAAATCTTTCAGAATTATACAAACATTTCAGGGATAACACATATATGGGTCAAGCTTAGATTCGCTAAAAGTTTCGTCGATTTGTGTGTGCAGTTTGTGTGGGCAGCCAACTGGAAATAACATTAAATATCAGTGATGTTTTCAGCGTGTTACACTGTGAGGTGTAACCAGTTATATTTTGAACTTACATTAGGATCTACTTTTTTGTATAGGGTGATGTCAAACTCATACTTTCCAGAACTTGATTCGGCTGAAACAAACATGACAAGTTAGATTCAGATTTTCTTAATCACTTCTCAAATAATTGAACACCAAATAAAAGTGTAAATCGGGTAGCGTTGCATTACTTTGCGAGACTGCCAATCTCACCTTCAAAATGAACAGAAGACTCGGTTAGATCGACTTTCACTGACTCTCTCTGAAAAAGTGTTGAGCATGAAAACTTCAAATACAGTAAGGTTAATTTACCAAAAACAAAGTGTAGCAAAGTGTTTAAAAGTGTCGTTAAAAGTTTTACAAACATTTTTGACAAGATAATAGCGAAAATTGTGTTGAAAAAATCTAATGTTACACGGTTACCGATTTAACAAAAATTAACAGTTACCTTTGGATCAACGATCTCAATTATTAGACCGATGAAGGAATCTTTCTGGTACCATTTGACTTGTGGTGGTACTGACATTGGAATCTAAGAGATTACATACATCATGATTAATTATTAATGATAGAAATATCAAATGAGGATCCTAATACCCCTCAATATCCTTTGCAAGGATCTGTCATATTTACAATTTATCAGCTGAAAACAATATAGAGAATAGAGATCTTAAAAGTATCTCATTCTTCATGCCATCTCACTCCCAATTTCTACAACCCTAATATATTACCCCTAATATTTTCGGCCTCTCATTCTCTCTGGCCCCTCAGCTCTGAAGCTTCTTACACGTGCATGACTATTCTCTCAGGGCTGTCACTTTTTTCGTGCTCTGACTCAATTTCTCTAAAGCGCCCCCTATTGGCGGCCCCTCCCCTTTAAGCAACCCTACCTAAAATTATACAAATTAGGTGATTTTCCTGGTCTTATTGGTTGATCAAACTCACAAGGTCTTTAGTTACTGCAACTGAGTAAGCATATTCACGGGATGTTATCCTGACAGGATTGATGATGCCTAGCCTGCCACACCGAACAAGAAGTTCGGGGATATCTCTCTCGTGCTGGTTGACTGGACGACCAAGGAAGGCTAGAATGAGCACATGCATGATCTTGCTCTCCAGTGAGGCAAAGTACTCTGCATTATCAGGTATTGTTCTCATGAAGAACCTCCATCGGTGGCATAATCCTTTGGTGAAGGCTGAATAAGCCAGCTGTGGTTCTTTAGATGCAATATCAGCAAGTTGCTCAATATCTGTTATCCATTTCTCAACTTTTTCTTTGATGAAATCTTCCCTAAATTTCTTTAAGCCTACCACAGAACCAAGGTGACGTTCTCCAGATGTCGTGATCTTAACTCCAAGATGCCAAAATAGAGTCTCTGCTTCAGTTTCGTCTTCGGGATTCTTGACAATTAGAATGGTCTTTTTAGCGTTGGGGTAGTACCCATATCCCGGACCGATGTCACAAAGTCTATTCCACCACTGAAGAAGTTAGATGAAGCTTCCACATGCAGAGCTGTCATCAGCGTCCCACACCATGGTTGCTTCTGCATAAGCACTGAGATCATCTATTATAGGTCTAGTGGCTATGGAGTAAAATTGCATTGCTGCAACATCTCCTTGAGTAAAACAAAATTTTAGTAAAACAACATTTTATTTTATACCCACAATCAATTCATATTTAGTTCAAATATCTAAAGTCAAAATAACCATTTCACAGAAGTGGTTTTATTATAGTAAAATAATTTGTGATATGTGTGATAAATTAATAAATTAATTTACACTCAGAAATGTACAAAAATAGACAATTTTTACTTTGCAACAATGGTTCAACGCGCGGCTGATCGAAAAAGTTTGGTTTTACATTTACTAACTACAGTGTACAGCGTACGCGTACATGAAAAGATAACTTAGAACTGAATTGTTTAATACTTAATACATACAGGGTGGCCCATAAGTGACTACCCACACGCAACCTCTTAATAACTCACGTAATTCGTCTCCAAATTGCACCAAAATTTCAGAGATTATAGATATGGGTCAAACTTAGATTTCCTAAAAGTTTCGTAAGCCACGCCCAATTACAGTGGGCGTGGCGTGACACTCCCTCTTTTTCACTATTGTCTAAATAAAATGAGAACGCTTTAAGCTACGAACTCCAAATTTTTTGCACACATTTGGCTTGATAATTGAAAACCTTTCCCAAAGTTTCAAGTTCATTGGTTAAAATATGGCTAAGTTATGACCATTTCAAAACTCATCGGATACGTGATCCGAGCACTCAGTCAGTGATCTCGTCACTTGGTTAATGGCCTGTTCGGCTCACATGCACCGCTTGATTGGTTGCAGCCTGCTTATGGGCCGGCCTATACAGCTGACTGCACCTAAAACGCTATCACACGAATTTATGGTGGTGTCACCATTTCAGGGCTTGTTAGCCCTGCTAGTCACAGGTTCCTTACAATCAATAAAAAGGAATGAACCATCCATTGAATCATCGAACCGGGCCTACCGAATCACAAAGAAACACAAACTTTTGGACCGTGATTTCCAATCGAGGATAGATTTCGCCAACACATTCCTGTCCAAGCAGAATGTGGATCCCTACTTTGAGGACGAAATCTGGTACAGCGACAAGGCCATATAAACGGATATGTCAACTCCCAGAATGCAATTCACTGGGGCTCTACTAGACCGGATGAAGTGGTGGAGAGAACGGCTTTTCCTGAAAAGTCACGATCTGGTTTTTATCCTAAAATTTTGTGTTTCCCTTTCTAGCAAAGTCATCATCGGTATCCAATCAAAGCCTAATGAACCTCATTAATACACGCTAACGCCTTACTCTTGATCAGATTGGGTGACGAGATCACTAATTGAGTGCAAATATCACTGACTGAGTGCTCGGATCACATATCCGATGGATTTTAAAATGGTCATAACACAGCCATATTTTAACCAATGAACTTGAAACTTTTGGAAAAGTTTTCAATTATCAAGCCAAATGTGTGCAAAAAATTTTGAGTTCTTAGCTTAAAGCGTTCTCATTTTATGAAGACAATAGTGAAAAAGAGGGAGTGTCACGCCACGCCCACTGTAATTGGGTGTGGCTTACGAAACTTTCAGGAAATCTAAGTTTGACCCATATCTATAATCTCTGAAATTTTGGTGCAATTTGGAGACGAATTACGTGAGTTATTAAGAGGTTGCGTGTGGGTAGTCACTTATGGGCCACCCTGTGACCCATAAGTCAGACGTTGTTCAATGAATTAACCACGAAAATGTTCAAATTGTGTAGGAGGGTAAAGGACACAATTGCTAGTAATGCTTCTTAGTGCCCGTAAAGAGTGTTTCCTTCTTCACCCCAGATGAACTCCCCTGACTTTGACCCCGAAATGAAGAGCTTTGTCCTTGCTTGATAGGTTTTTTGAGGAATTTTTGAAACACAGGGCAGGTTGTTGCAACAGTATCAAGGGCCTGCTCTCGATGTAAACTGTTGAATGCGTTTGATGCATCAACTAGGAGGAGGCCTTGGCAAAGTTCTCAGCCATTGAGTGAACTGCAGCCTCTATGCCTGACTCAATGCCGATACAGGTTTGAAGAGACCCACTTGCTTCCTTAATGTGTTCTTTGATGGTTCTTGTTACAGTTTTTGTCATGATTCATCGCAAAACTTCACCAATGCCGATAGGTCTGACTCCGATCCTAGTCGCTTGTCTAAAAATCAATTTACTTGCAACAAGGTCACTGAGCATGGAAGGATCAATAGTTTCTGTGCATAATATTTTTATGACATCGGTAATGGCTTGAGCTAGAATATCGTTGCATTTTCCATAGCTCTTTGAGCATAAGATATGTTTCCAACTATCAGGATCAATGAGGGTGGGGCCTCCTGAACCATGGGTGTTCTTGGCCGCAGCTTTTATAGCTTCACCGTCGATTTCTTCAAACAATATACAGGTTGGATATCGATTGTTGAAAGTTTCTCTGGCCCCTCACGTTTTGTTGCAGAGGGGTGCTTCTCCTGCAGCTGTCTGATTGTGTCTATTAGTCGTGTGGCTTCCTTTAATTTACCGTGAAGCATTCTCCGGCAGAAAGCCTTCTTTTCATTGAACTCTAAAGTGATGTTTATCTTCTGAAGGCGGCTCTGTATCACTTAACACTCAATTAAGAGTCCCTCTATGTCTCTGATATCCCATTTCTGAAGGCTGGCGATCAGATATTTGTTGTGAACTCACGAGCTTTAGATCTTGCAGATGGTTTCTGACGGATCAAGGGAATAAATATCTGAACAAGGGAAAGTGAAACCTTCTCCCACACAGAATCAGGGGTGAACATAAAGAACAGTCTGGTTAGCTCAAGGATGAAGTTTTTGCCAGCCTTACCAAATTCTTATCCCAGGTTATTATCTCTGCATACACTCTGTTGACCATTTCAGTAATGGCTTCCTCGCACTACAAAGGCCATAATCTTTCGCCAGCTCTCCAATATCCAACTTTAAGCTGCATTTTATATCCTTGAACTACACAATATAAACTAAAGAATGTTTTAGTGTAGACTTTTTGTCACAACAAGACTGCAACCTATAATAACAACTATAAACAGAACCCCTAACGTCTGCTTACAATTTTTCTTCTAGTCCTAATCTGAGCCTTGTCTCTATAAACTTAACTGAACTAGCGTTTCGGTGTGTGCAAAAGCTTCCAGGCACGCGCATTCCTTGCCCCGTTAGTTACCTGTCCTTCCAAAACCAAACTAGCAGTCAAGGACAAAAAGTCATACACCAAATGGGCATTATATTTTATGAATTGTTTTACATCTTTTTATTCTGTAAAAATGTGCTAAAATTAAATTTCTTGTTTCATTGAAAATTTCTTGTTTCATTGACTACCACTTTCCATCCCATCATTGACCAAAACCCATAATTGGGTAGAGTGGACCGCTGCCAGTGTCTCTCTTTCCAAAACAAATCGATCTAGCAACTGAGCAGAGCTCAAGGGAAGATATGTTTATAAGTGTGTGTGTTGAAATTGTAGAAAGTGAGGGGCTAAATCTTAAGCGAAATATTAATCTTTCGAAAAGAGAAGGATTTATTATAGCATATAATTTTGCTAATTTTGCTACTATTATGATAAAGGATGTAATACCAAGTATATTGAAGTGTAGTAGGTACCGTATAGTGTTATTGGACAAGGGAGTGAGATTTTCTACTTGAGCTGTTTAGTTCACAGGAAAGCAGATATGGACTGCTTTAAACTTTTAAAACTTTTATTTTGGATAAAGTTTGTTTCAGTAACCATTGAGAACCAGTGGCCTTTTGTAACTGCATCTTCAACCTCATTTTCATTTTGAAACGTCAGTCGTCAAGAGACTGGTAAAGTCAAATATTTTGTTAAATAAACATTTTTATTAATTTTTTGAAGGGTAGAAATTTTTTAGATCTTAATTTTATATGAAACTATTAATGTTTTTAATAGCTTGTTAGCAGGGTAAAATTTGTTAGGTGTGTTTCTATAAATTTCTCTGTTGGAAAT